TTTAATAACATGCTCAAGCCACGTGAAATTTCCATCATGGCCGCTGTCCCACTGGAAGGATCTACAGCACCAAATCCCCAAGCGTCCCTATGATTTCCTATCAATACCCAACGATCCGGTTCTTCCTTGCCATATATGGTGCCAATGACGTTGTAAATATCTTGTTCTGTGTTAGGAAAATTGACTTCAATTCGCACAACGGAGTTGTTTCCTTTTAATCCTTCATTACCAAGTCTGTAGGTAATATCGAGTGTGCCTTTCCAGCTGTCTGGGACTTCCTGACCTACACGTATGCAAAATGAATGAGTTTTTTTTATATCATTCTATAATCAATTTTACCCGTATAAGTGAGTAAATATCACTAAGGGCCTGCTAAGGAAACACGGACTAGCCTACCTATGGCTATGATCTTCCCATGCAGTAACATCGTGTTCATATGAGGAAGCGGGCTGGCGCACTTGGCGAGATCCCGGCTGTGTAATCCGGCCGAGTCCATTACATAGATAAATGGGATGGGCATTTTCCATATAATAAGCTCGCTCAGCTCGCTTACCAGGATGAAGTCAAGAAACCGAATTTTAGATTTTATCGTTTAATTTAGCGATTTACTTAGTTTTATCTTTGTTTTGTAAACAAGTATTAAATATGTTGCCAAAGCAATGCTTTTCTTGTAAATAAATTAAAAAATGAAAAACACCAAACTCGTTAAAATATTTGTGATGCATGACTGCAATGTACAAGTTTTGCAAGCGCTAATTATGTCTCAATTTGATCACTAGCTTGCCGAGGTGAAATTACAATGCAGTCAATTTTAAAAATTCCATATGAACACACGGAAATGTTCGTCCCACTAGGCGAGACGTCTCAGTAGGCGAGATTTACCTTCCATAATTTTCATGATTTCTACAGCGTCACCGTACGGCATGGGCGCTGCTGGGATTTCTGGAAGACTGGCATCATCGGGAGATATTCTGTAAACGCCGTCAATAGATGGCAGTCCAGGTGTTATAGGATCTCCGCGACTGGTAAAAATAGTTCCCCGTTGAACAGCAGTCTTTGGCAACCAGATGTATTGAGGGTATACTTTGCCCTGACCTTCTGGGGCAAAGTCTGCAGGATCGTTGTACAAAATGGCACCAGCGGCACCGCATTCGCGAGCATTTTTTACCTGAGGAGGAAGGAAAATGTGCAGTTTTCTTATGGCGACGCAACCGTGAGCAATTTTGAATCACTTCTTTGAACAAGCGGCCCAAGATAAAAATAAAATAAATACCTTGTCACCGCGGAATATTTTGCCGTATCTCATAATGGCAATGTATCCACTACAGTTTGAAATGCTAAAGTTCTTCTTTAATACATCAAAGTCCTCCGTGCGGCCATAGTTCACATAAAGCAGCTTGCCACTAGCTGATCCTTGTTTCGAATATCCAAGAAATGGAGGAATCATTGTCGTATCATTTTCACTTGGATCTGCCAACTTCGATATCCAAATAGAATGATGCACAAGAATGCAATAAATTTGTGTCGAAATATATTTCAAGAGCTTTTTTATAAAGATATTCGTTTAGTGTATGAATAGTGTTAAAAAGATGGCGATTCTACATTTTATTTCGAGGCAATTAATGAGGCTACAATATGATTGCAACGGGTATGATATAGATAATAATGGTAAAAGAGATAATGGCAATTACGATGATAATGGTGATGGTAGACTGGTAGTAATGGTGATATTGATCATTAATAATATATGGTGAAAATGTTGGTGATAATATTGATGATGATGTTGATGCTGCATGTGCTGATAATGGTCATACTTTTGATAATGGCGATAGTGACGATAATGATGAAGTTTGTAGTGATGATGATTCTGTTAATGATGCCAATGCATGCAATGATGGCAATTATTACTGCAAAACGAAACACACCTAAAACATACCTGTTCCTTCCCGGAAAACTCAAGCACAGTGTTGTTTCCAGTATCTAAAATTTGTACTTTATTTGAAATATTTGGATTAACATAAGGAAGAAGAACATTATATTTTGGCATTTCCACTTTGTCGAAATTATAATCCTTCCAAGTTCTAGCGATTTCTTCGGCCAACTCTTTGGATCTCGCTGTTCCAGGAAAATGGGGACGCTTAGAAAAATACCTTTTCAAAATTACATAAAAACAGTCATGTAATTTAAAATTTAGAACAAACATTGAAAAGAGTATTGCATAACAAAAAAAATTTGTCCACCTCCAGATCCTTCTGAACAGTAGTTGTTGTTCGATTATAATCTTTTTCGTACAGGGACGTGCTCAAAAGCGCAGAAGCCCTGGGTACGAGGTTGGGACGTGCTGGGGTCTCAGAAAAGGACGACGAATGAGCAACGTCTGATGGGACCCAGGTCCAGTGACGGATGGATCACTCATTAATTTCCCCCCCAAAATTGTTGGCGAGGGGAGTCAAAAAAATTCCAGACATAGTATTTTTCAATAACTTTCGAATTAATGTACCGTAAATTTTTTAAATTTTTTGGTAATATTTTCGTAAATCTTGATTTTCAAAATTAAAATGTATATTTTTTATCTTTTCCAATGTTTTAATTTCAGGGCCCCATGATGGCAGGGGCCCACAACAAGTTCTCGTCGGCTCGTCTTTAGCCAGCACGTCCCTGGTTTTGTACCCGATTTCACAAAGAAAGTTTGCATTTCAAAGAAATTTTGTGATACATTGATTTTTGAATATGATAAGTAGAATGCAAAGTGAGTAAACAGTTGCTTATAATATAGTTGTTATAAAATAAAAAATAAACCTAAAGGACTTTCAAGCCACTAAAATGGTTAGCCAGTTGTACATGTGGTGAAGTTAAGTAACTTTTTCTATTTAAGTAACTTTTGTAAGTTTCATTTTGTCACAAACAGGGCCATGCATAGCTAGACACGATAATTGTGGGGTGTATATTCATATATATTCATGTTCACATTCCGCAAAAACAATCGCTTCACATACCGTAAAAACAATGCTCGTGTTGAACATGATATCTCACGAGTGAGCGCAGCGACACTCGAAATAAATCTGGTATTTCCGCTCACCCATGTATTATTATTCTCTATATATTTACTTTATAAGCTCCCAAAAATCCAAAATAAGGTAATTGAGTAGCCCCTCCGCAGGCAACTGTGTAGTTATGCAACGTTATTAACCATAAAAGATTTATCAGGAACGTAGAAAATACAAGGAAATACTAGTTCTGAAATACGATATGATATCCACAAGCCTCCCTATTTTTACGCTCCAGTGTTTATTAATATCATATCGTATTTCCTTGTATTTTCTACGTTCCTGATAAATCTTTTATGGTTAATAACGTTGCAGAACTACACAGTTGCCTGCGGAGGAGGCTAGTAATTGAGCTTAATTAATTAGGCACTTGGTCCAGCGGTTAGTTGGCTAGCCCCTTGCTACTATATTGGCCTTCGCCCTTTGGTTTCACTCAGTCATACGTGAAGAAATTATTAATACCAAACATTAATACTGCGGAATCGATCTAGTACGGCAATATGGCAAAATAAACAGTAGTTTCACGGAAACAATTTTTTCTCATCTCCATCTTTCTTTTTCTGCGCTGTCAGAAATATGATGCAACTACCTGAAAGATAAAAGCGAAACTTCGACGTTTCGAGCGAATGCGTCGGGAAGATAGTAGCATATAGGACGTTAGCACGGCTACAAACGAACTCGTTGAACTTTAACCTGTCGTCTGTAAATCTGTTATATCCATCGTATGAATTAATACCTTCTAACGATCGAGGTTAAGACAAGGATTTAGGGTTGGGAAGAGTTCTAGGATCAATTTGAAATAACCGTTGTCCCAGCTTGTAATCATAGCCGTTGTATACAAGACGTGATAATCTGTGATATGCCGGCTGCGAGCAGGGGCGCACACGCCAGCCAAGCTGGGAGGGTGACACCCCCCCAGCTTTTCAAAATCGGTCGAAAGTCGGTCCTGAAAAATGCATATTAGATAACCAGTTCGGTCCCAGGTTCGGTCCCCGAACATCCGATATACTAGATAGATATATTTATATAGTTAAGATAAATTAAAGTTTTTCATCGTTTTTTATCATATTTATATATAAATATAACTGCATTGGTAAATAAAATAGCGAGTTTCAAAGGCAAACAGCGCATTTTGATTTTTGAAATTTGACCGGCATTTTCCGGGTGCAAAGTGCTTTGAGAGACAGACTTGACATTATCTTTTAACAATGTCTCATATGTTTGACCCGGCGGCTGGCACATCAAACACGCAGTCGTTAAATCAAGAAAATACTGGTCTTACGAAAATACTGGATGGTTGGCACTAAGGTCTAAGAAGACTAGTAAAGACTGAGAAAGCGTCAACGGTTCTGAAATTCATTCTAGGTATGTTCCGTATACTTATGCTGAATTGGCCATATTATAATTTTGGGATAGGTAATAGGACCTCTACATACGTCTCGAACCTCTCGTAGTCTCGTTTGTGGCTTACTTTATAGGCCCTCTTTACACGAGCCCGGGATGATTTTCAACCCGGGTCACCCCACAGGTGGTTATTTTTTGTTCGGTTTACATGAAACCGGGTTGACGAAAATTTTTGCCGACCCAGGTCAGCAATTTTCAACCCGGGCTGGCTCTGGTAATATTCCGAGCAACAGACTGGAGCAGAGCGTATTTTGGGGGCTTATATTCCTTATATACGATTGTCGCTTGTGATTTTAATTGTGTTGTGTAATTTCCTGTACCTCTATTTAGTCAACGGTTTTCTTATATCCTAGTCCTCACAGGGTCTGGAAAGTAAACCATGCCGTGATAGAAATATGTGAACTCACCCACGTGACGTTGAGCGGGTTCGATACCCGCATTTTGGAATCATCACCCGCGTAAAAAATGACACTTAATTAATTATTTCACCCGCATTCATTGAAATTCACTCGCATAATCAGATGATAATTCTCCGTAGGAGATTTCGTAGGAGCGGAGGCAATGCTGAACTAGCCTTGCGCTTATTTTATTTAGTTTTGACCGAACGGTTGCGATTTTACGAAACTTTGCGAAACTTTTATTTATTTCCTTTTGTACGAAACTTTGCGAAACTATTATATTTAACGCAACGAAAATGGGCCGTTACGATGCATGTAATGCCTGCAGTGAGATAATTAGTATTAAAAAAAGTTCCATCGAGAAGCACGTCCAATCGAAAAAACATGTAAACGGAATTGCAAGCATCGCCAAAAGCAAAAAGGAGAACCAGACTATTTTGGAGTGTTTAAAAAAGCAAGATATACGCGATCGTGCGAGCGGCTCAACTTTACCTGAGGATATGAGGCTGTTTCGTTTTGAACTAGTAGAGACGTTTCTGCTAGCTGGTATAGAAATTTCAAAGATTGACATCATGCGTCCTTTTCTTGAAAAGTATGCTCGGCACAGGTAATAAATGGGACATTAGCACTAGAATATAATGTTGTAATTTGATAAAAGATCTCTAAGACCTTATGTTAAATGGAATTTACGATGTGGTGGTTGCTGCATCTTGGGTAGGTGTGGAAAACACAACACCACGTATCATGATTAATGTGTAATTGAATAGTGGTTAAATATTCATTGATTATATAGGTTAACCGGCGCTAGCCACATGAAAGATATCATTCCAACGGTACTTGAGAAAGAACGCGAGAAAATCAAAGCTGAAATCCAAAACGTGCAGGAAGTATCTATGATATTTGATGGAACAGCCCGACTTGCAATTGTGATACGTTATGTGCAGGAGAATTTCAAGCCTACGCAGCGCCTAATATGCTTGGAAGTTCTTGCAAAGCCGCTAAAGGGTTCAAAACTAGCGCAGCGATTGATGTCGTGTCTTGCCGTAAATCATAACTTTGGTCCAAATATGGTACTCGCCACAATGAGAGACGGCGCTGCAGTTAATGGGGCTGCAATACGACAGCTGTCATTCTTTTATCCTAACATTTTTGATGTTACTTGTTTTTCTCATACCATTGATAATGTGGGAACCCATTTCAAATTTAGAGTTCTGGATATATTTTTTCGCCATTGGATAAGTTTGTTTGCCAATAGCTATAATGCCAAACTTCTTTGGAAAGAGAGAACTGGCCAATCAATGCGCTCTTACAGTAATACACGATGGTGGAGTAAGTGGGAGGTCCAAAAACAAGTCTATGAATATTTTGGTGATGTCGTGCCCTTCCTGCGAGAAAATGAGAATCTCTCCCCTGCAACACGCCAACATCTTTTGGAGATAATTGACAACCCTCGCAATCTTCAGGATCTCCGTTTGGAGCTTGCTGTAATTGTTGACGCTGGTGTCCAATTTGTCAAGGCAACCTACTATTTGGAAGGTGACGGGCCGTTAATTTTCTCCTGTTACGAGCGTTTATCAGCTGTTAGTAATGCCATTGGAGTAGCCAATTTTCCAAGCACCTCTGCTATTGCTCGAGAAATTGCCAACGGTGACGTTGTGGTTCAAAACCAGCTCATTACTCAGGCAAAAGCATGTGTGCAACCCGGACTGCTCTTTTTTCAGGAAAAGTTCAGCGTGCAGTTCCACACAATTGTTCGCGCTTTTAAGGTATGCCTGTTATTAACTCGCATTCATTGTGGAATTACATGTTTACGTGAAACTAATATTTGATTTATCCTTGTTATATTCATTTCGAAATCAGAAAAAGTCTAAATTTATTTTAATAATAATTATATTATTACCGTTATTATTATATTGTAAAGGTCGCACGTCTTTGTTGCCCAGTTCAAGTCCAACAACTAAAGCCAGATGCTGCTGCACTCGAAGAATTTAGCAACTTTCCATTCGTGAATGACAACACAATAGCCAACTTAGCTAATGAGTTGCCAGATTATCTTGCGGCTGTTGATGGCGTCACTTTAGGCAATGAAGATGAAAAAGTTACCTGGTGGGCAGCACAACGCGAGACTTTACCACACTGGTCAGCTCTGGTGAAGAAGTTGCTTCTAATCCAGCCTAGCTCTGCTGCTGCTGAACGTGTGTTTAGTTTGCTTAACAGTATGTCATCGCAACAGGGAAACTCACTCGAAGATTACATTGAGGCATCTGTTATGGTCCGCTATAACAGCACTCAAAGAAAGCACTAGGTAGGTTGCTCTCTAATAGGCTCTCTAATCGTATTGAAATTCCATAAATTTTTTCATTACAGTTCCTGTTCACACTTGTTAATTGTTGTTTGGATGTATTGATGGCGTAAACCTTGTAATTATATAAAAGGAACTACAGTACATATGTTCCTTGATGTTAGAGTTTGAAATACTGTTACTTATGATGTCAAATGTGTATTGTAAATATAAGAACATTAGAGCAACTTTTGAGCAACTTTTTTCCACTTTGAGCAACTTTTTGAGCAACTTTTCGAAATTTTGGAGCAACGTTTTGACATATTTTGAGCAACTTTTTCGAAATTTGGTAGCACAATCTGGCTGTGCCTACATGTACTACTCTATTGTAGATTAAACCTTCCTTAAGTTCGCGAATGAAGGGAGGGCGAAATAGACTACTGTTTATTCTTCCGTCATGTCCTAGCTTATATACTAGATCAAGTACTAGTAAATAATTGGATACTCCGAACAATTTCATTTATTATATCCACGTTTCGACTTATACCATGCTCAAGCATAAAGCGAAAGAAAAACGCCCTTTAATTGAGACCGCTAAATAAGCGCTAATCGTTTTCATGTCACGTTAACGTTGCTAAAACACTGCAAGAAATTTAGACATATTTTTGCCTATTTCCGCCTTGTTCAGGCTTTTAGAGCTTAGAATGATACTGTTCTTTCGTATGCATTTCATCTCTACGTAGTTCTTCAATGGTACGGCATGTAGTGTCAGACTTGTCATTTGGAATTGTGAAGTAACCGATTAAAAAGCACAACAGAAACAGCACTATTCCTGTGGCCACCAGAGCCACCAGCTGCCCTGACATCATTTCGTAGCGAAAGTTATTCGCCGGCTGTTGTGTTCGTGTATGACTGCATATGAGGTCTGCAATCGTAATTGTAATAATTACTCGAGCTTGTCGTGCTACAAGCGTCTAGGTAGTATGTTATGCTCAAGGGTCCTCAAGACCTCAAAGCGTTGTGTTCTAGATTAAGCCTTCCTTAAAGACCATGTAAAGTCCGTTCTGCGCATACGTTCTGCGCATGCAGGCTTACATTCGAATGGTCGGGACTCGACCGTTGGAACGTTATTCATAATATTTCGTATCTTTTGAACTTTCTTGAATTGAATCTCTAGTCTGTATTCATTTACAAGCATAGCGAACCAGAAGAGTGTTAAAAATTCAGTATAATATATTCTAATCATATTTTACAATTGTAGCACTGAGTTCAAAATGTAAACAAAGCGTTTGTTTACATTACCGACTTTACATGGTCTTTAAGTTCGCTAATAGAGGGAGGAGAGGGGCGAAATAGACTACTGTTCATTCTTCCGTCATTTCCTATAGCTTATTAGTACTAGATCAAGTACTAAATAATGGATACTCCGAACAGTTTCATTTTCATTTATTATATCCACGTTTCGACTTATACTTTCATCATTAAGATGCTTAAGTTAAGTTCAGGCTTTTGTAGAGCTTAGAATGATACTGTTCTTTCTTATGCATTTCATCTCTACGTAGTTCTTCAATGGTACGGGGTGTAGTGTCAGCATCGTCATTTGGAATGGTGAAGTAACCGATTAAAAAGCCCAACAGAAACAGCACTACTCCTGTGGTCACCAGAGCCACAAGCTGCCCTCTAGCCAGTCTTGCTGACATCATTTTGCAGCATTCGGGATGTTGTGTTCGTGTATGACTGCATATAAGGTCTGCAATCGTTGTAATAATCACTCGAACTTTTCGTGCTACACGCACCTAGGTTATGTCATGCTTAAAGGGACCTCAAAGCGTTGTGTACTAGATTAAGCCTTCCTTAAGTTCGCCGCTAATAAAGGGAGGAGAGGGGCGAAATAGACTACTGTTTATTCTTCCGTCATGTCTTAGCTTATAGACTATATCAAGTACTAAATAATGGATACTTTCATTCCATGCACGTTTCGACTTATATTCATCATTAAGATGCTTTAGTATAAAAGTCGTTTTTCAATTCAACCATATCGTACTGATTACTGAAGCAGAGGTACTGAAGCGTAGCGCATTTCTTTCAGCTTATTTGATACAAATAATTTTTTCTTATATATTATAAATATACATGATAAATCTATCATGAAAATAGTAGCAAAATATTTTCATGATATTCTTCTGTTATATGATAATTACCAGTGCAGTTACGGCATGCATATTATCATTCATAATATATAAAAAATGTAAATGCATATTTTATAATCTTATATTTTATAGTTATTATAAAGATACGCTTTGTATCTTTTATCGTATGTAATTTCATGTGCCTGTATAACTATTGGTATTTGATACTATTCTGTGATCACAAAAGTCACAAGCTGCCCTCTATCTGACCTCTAGACAGTCTTGCTGAAATAATTTTGGAGCGAAGGTTATTCGGGTCGCTACAAGCACCTAGGCTATATGTCATGCCCTCAAAGCGTTGTGTGATAAACACTTTAACCAGTTTCGAACACTGATTAAAAATGATATTTAATCACATAAGACAAATATGGATCTCGATATGGATTATTAGACCTAATCTTCAACAATAGTGACCCTGCAGGTTTAATGATGGAGATAACGTAAGATATAAACAATTTTTAAGGGATGAAGAAAAGCAAGCGGGGACGTTTTATCTAAATACTACAAAATCATTCCTTTTAGAGGCCTTGCTACACAAATAATTAAAAATTGCGGTTACACGAGACCGGAAAACTAAGTATTTTGATTTAATGTAGAACAAAATAATGCAAACTCCGAACAGTTTCATTTTCAATTTAATATCGTTGCTTAAGTTCATATGTATTGGAAAACGGACAGATGTCTCCAGCCCTCCACACCAGAATTAAATTAAAGACTGAAATTCAACATTCTAATACTGATAGTGCCGGGGCCGGCCAGGGCCGCGTTTACACCACTCGGGGCCCGTGGCATTTTCTTCGCGCGGGGCCCCAAAGTTTTGCCTTCTCTATAGACTATAACCTGGAAATTTACCTCGTTTTAAGCATAAATCGTAGCGACGCGGCGTTCGCTTCGCATATAGCAACTCTAAAGTCTGAGACAAAATTAGAGACAAGAGTAGTATATATTTAACTTGGTATTTGAAATTTTTTATTTATAATTACTATTATATCCTTGTGGCATACAGCTATTTCAATCAAGGTTGTCCCCGAGCAAAGCGGAGAAGTCGAATACGAGCGCGGAAGGCTTGCTGGGAATCCCTAACTGAAAACCCATTAATTTATTAGCAATTTCCAGCAAGCCTTTCGCGTTCGTATTCGACTTTACCGCTTTGCTCTGGGACAACCTTAATTGAAATAGCTGTATATAAGGGGCCCGGCTAGGCTAAAAATATAAATAATAATTAATAATATAGCATCATATACTTCTAGCCTAAATCGCGGGGCCCTGGAAGGCGCGGGGCCTGTGGCATATGCCGCATCTGCCACTGTGTAAAACCGGCGCTGTGCCGGGCTCATAAAATTGCAAAGCACATTGCAAATACTGCTGCAGGTCAAACTTTAATCCTCAGGGCCGTCGCTATAGGGTGGGAGAGCGTGCGGTGTGTGACACTGCCTGAAAACATCTTGTCAGCAAAATAACGGATTTATCGGCAAATTGTTTTTGTAGTCAGCGAAAATATTTGAGTGGCTCTGATTAAAAAGTTAAAATTTACAGCAAAAGTTTTGATAAATTTACGGGAGTGGGGAGATTTTCAAAAAAATAGTTTTTAAAAAAGTTTTAATAAAGGAGTTTTAAAAAGCAAAAAAAGTTTAATTAAAAAAGTTAGATTTTCAAAAAAGTTTAAAAAGTTTAAAAAGTTAGGGTTAGTGGTTAGGGGTTAGTGGTTAGTGGTTAGGGTTGGAGTTAGTGTTAGGTGCCGCGAATTTATTATTATAAATTCAAAATGTGCCGCGAATTTATCATGGTGGGAAACGAACGGAAAGGCCTGCGGACTAATTTTGCAAAATGGCGGGAGCCACAAACCAAATTATAATTTATTATTATTCATTGTACTATTTATTACTTATGCAGTAATAAATTTACGTGGTGTTTCCACAAACAAAAACAATTATATTTTATCGCCATGCAAACATTCAAAGAACTCATTGTACTGTGTTCTCGGTTTTTCATTGGCTAAGAGCCTACAAATAATTTTGGGTATTTGTAGGTGCCTGCGCTATTTCCAGCGGAAACAGTAATCTGCAGAGGTTATTGGACGGCTCCCGAGATATTTCAGCGGTATTTTATGTGAAAATACAAATTGGCGGGAAATTTTTAGTTGAGCGGCTTTTTCAATTGTTTACAATGGCTAGTGCTCGTTTCGCAACGTTTTCAACGCAGGAAATTGAAAAAATCGTGGAAAACAAGGACTCAGAGAACACCAAAAAAAGTACT